TTGGCTTTTAGCTTTCACCCACAGAAGCAAAAGCTTCCATCTATTGATCTTCTCCTATTGTGCTGAAATACCTCCTGAAGTAAGTATAGCTGGGGATTAAATAAAATGATATAACCTCTTTCTGAAATCACTGTTGTGAACCTTGAAGAGGTGATGGAATCAGCACTTTCAAACTTTCTTGTTTGTTACTTGAGTGCTGCATTCATGACTAATCTCTGAATCGCTGTTCAAGGAAAAATTCAAGTTGGTAAAAAATGAGGAAGATCTGCAAAGGTGAGAGTGATCAACTATTGAACATTTTTGCTAGTGTTTGTGGACTTTCTACTGCTGACTAATTCAAAGTCAGTTTAAGAAGTTTTCTTGCTTTTCTTTCTGCAAAAAGGGCAACAGAAAGTAATAATAATAGCTGAATAAATGTGTTGGTTTTTTTTTAAACTTCTTCAGAGTACTGCCGTGTTTTTCCACGATCTCAGCCTCTACAGTCTCAAGTAGTGAGACTGATATCCTGCCAGTCCTGTTATGGTAGAGGCTGTTCTACAGTGTACCCCATTGTGAGAAAAATAATGTTTGTCTTGCATCCAATACTGCTACCTCAGCTAAGGAAGTAAAGTGAGATTACAGGATCAGCTTTATGAGTATAACTGAAAATAAATTCCCTTGAAGCTGAAGATGGCAAAGATTTAAGGAGATGGATTGCCTGACAGCTGAGAAATGCAACATCTTATTGAGATTACAAGCCTTTCCTCTTCCTGTTATGAGTCGATCTAATAAAAGTATTGTTTCTCTCTTCTTTTCACTTTTATAGCTCTTCTTTCAAGAAAAAGTCAGTGTGACTCTGAACACAGTAACTGGAAACTGAATCTCTGAATCTTCTCTCTTGGCATAAAAAGAAACAGTGATTTTCTTTCTTTCTTTCTTTCTTTTTTCTTTTTTTTTCTTTTTTATTTTTAAGAGTTTCAGGTAGATAGAAGTGGGTGGGCAGGAGGAATTAAAAATGTGTTGTTCTTTTTTCCCCTGGCTTTCATCAGTATAGTGATCTGATATTCTTCTCTGTTGGTGATAGTCATTTCCTATTACAAAGTCACATCTTCCATGGGTTGTATATAGTAAGTTTCACATCTGCTATTGCAAGAACAGCTTAAAATGACATATGACAGAGTGTATAGCAAGAGAAATCTGACAGAGTTCCTCCATAATTTAAGAGACATTGAACGTGGTCATGGTCTAAAGTTTTCACAGTCACCTGCAGTGCCAAAAGATGCTTTGCAAACAATATTAATTCCTGATAAAAACGACTGAAAGAATCTTGCTTACCTTTCCCTTTAGAGAATACTTGAGAAACGGGGTTAAAATCAAGTCTGTCTTCATAACGAAATAGTGAATGTTTAGTTAACAAATAAACAAAATTAAAAAAAGGTTTTGTAATTATTTTAAAACTTCAAGAATCTGTGATGTCACAAAGAGGAATAAAAATTTCAAGGAAATTACAAGTGAATGCTAAACTGCATTGTTTATTTGAGTTGTAATCACTGCACGTGTTAGAAAAAATATCTATTTGAGACAACTCAAATTGAACTTGATTTGATGGTCTTTCTTTTATTGAAAATCTGTTCCTTAAGTGAGTTTATTTATTATTATGGCTTCTAAAAAACTGGCTACTATACAAAAAAAAAAAACCCTCTCATTTCTCAGAAATAGCTATAGTCCTTACTGTTGTCCATATGCTCTATATAGTGTGACAGTATTTAACACGATGCTTTCATAAATTCTGCTTAGCTCATATCAAGTGAGAAAATTCTTAACATGAAAACACAGTTTTTATGATATTTCTTCTAAATTTTAGCCACTTTGATATTGCAAAATGGAATCTGTAAACCATCACTCTAGTATAAACACTCCTCTATGTTTTGTCCTAACAGAATTCAAATTTTCCAAATACTTAGAAACACTATTCTATAGTATCTAAAACAGTTTATATGTCTGTGTGTGTGTGTGTGTATACATGCACATACAAGAAACAAAATCTCATTAACAGACAGAGAAGGTTTCTATCATGAATCAGCCTTCAATGGTCACTGAACAACTATTTGTCAAGAAACCGGAATATTACTTTTATAAGATAGAATTAGTAAGAACATAAATGTGAGGAATTGATACAGGGTAATGAGTTTATGCCTCTAAATGTGCTCAACAGGAAGTTTTCATCTTTCATGATCTGAAACAAAACACTTAATAGGATTTGTCTTGTATTTTGGCTATGAAAATATGCTACTAGATTACAACTTATGTTTTCCTTTTGGAAAAGAAACGAAATCCCATTACTGACTACCACTACATGTAAATGCATTTGGGCAAAATTGTCTTTTTCAGGTTCACCTCTGTGTTCCTAAGTCTGTGATGAGATTTGAGTCTAACTTACTACTTACACACAGCCACTGTTGCTTATTTTTTTCCAGGTGAAGCTTAAATTCATAAAAAACAGAGTTACCTATAGACCCCCTAACAGCAGAAAAACATTTTTTCTGTTACAAATAATTCTTGATCTAACATTTGTATCTGTCTTACCTGATAAGGTATTCAAATAACTTTATTCTTTTCTCATTTTCCTTATTCTAAGCTGGACTTAGGTTATATGAGTGTAATTTCCCCTTTATATTTCTTTCTTTTCTGACTTATCTTTAAATCATTTAAGTTTTGGTTTTGTTCTCCCACAGAATTACATAATATTTGCATTTCATTCAAGAAAACTGACATTTCTTTTTTACTGTGATATAACGAAATGCAGTGGTTTTACAGCAAACACTTTATTGTATTTGTTTTCCATATCCTCTTTGCAATTTGTCAGTAAGCAACATGGCACATTATTATTAATTACAGTTGATCCATTGAAGGGTAACTGCACTTTGAAGAACTGGCACTAATAACTAGAAAGTGGCAATGGTACCACTTCAAAGCTCCACTGATCACGGTAGAATATGATGAAGATGCCAAGAGGACACTACTCCAGAGTAGGATTTTCCATCATTACGGTACCATTACACCAACAGTCCTTCATAGAAGCTTAAGCAGATGAATTCAGACACAGGACAAGGGGGAATGGTTTTAAACTGAGAGGGGAGGTTTAGGTAAGATGTTTGGAAGAAGTTTTTCACAGAGGTGGTGACAACCTCCATCCATGGAGGCAATCAATGCTAGGCTGGATGTGGCTCTGAGCAGTCTGGCCTAGCGGGTAGTGACCCTGCACATAGCAGGGGGGTTGGAACAAGGTGATTGGTCCTTTTCTATCCAGACCATTCTATGATTCTCTGATCTCTCATTTCTCCAACTTTCCCATAAAAAAAAAAAAGGGGAGCTTGGTTGGTTTTGGCCTTTACACTTTCAGTGCATTTGTACCTTACTTTCTGACAAGATTAGGACAGAAAAAGTTTAAGCTCAGAGAGCAATATGGAAACTTGTCACTGCACTTTTCACGTCTTAGTTTCTGAATCCTATATTACTCATGAAAACAAGGGATGCAGCATTTCTCTTCTCTTGGCTTCAAGCATCTTCAGAAAGAGCCACAATCACCCTTCTGAAATCAGTAGAATGAGATTGCTCATCCCTTCCTTTAAAATCTGTCATTATAGAAAAATGTCTTTCAGCTAGCTCATGTTCCATCCCTCTGGTCTTCATCTCACATTGAAGTTTAAAGTGGTTGAAGGAAGACAGGCACTCCATTAAGTTTTAAATTGGAATTCTGAATTGTCCTACTTCACATCATTAAAATGAGTCAGAAAACTACCCACAGAGCAAAACACAAGCACTGAATACCATTTGTATTAGAGGCCCAAAATAAGCCAAATGAAGTACTGATTAAATCTTTACTTATTAAAACAAAACAAAACAAAACAAAACACAAAATTAGTTCATTCTGTAAGCTTAGAGAAAGGACAATGATGAAATTGCACAATGGTGATAGGGGAAAAAGGTATAACAAAGTGATTTGAGGATTCCTGAAACCATATTTCCATCATTGCATTTTGCTGTTGTCATGGGGCAAACGTTTATTGCCTACACCAAAACCAAAGCAGTCACTTGATACACTTCAGAGTTCTAAGCATTACCATGACAACCACTAATCTATAATTATTTTAAAAGTTACACTTACATTGATAATGTTTGCTATTGTTGCTTCATCCAGTGATGGACAAAGGCCAGGTAGATTTACTGATGGTACATTAAAAAAAAGATAAATACACAGAAATGATGTCAGCCAGCCAAATACATTATTTTCTATGACCTTTGATCCATTTTGGCCATCCCAGTAGAACAAACAATCACTGCTTTGCACTGCTGAAGACCAAATGAAAACGTATGACAATATATTTCAATAGCATGTATCCTGACAAAGATAGACTTTGTTATTAACATTAATGTTATCACTTTGAGTTGAATACTTAGCCAGCTCTTACACCTTTCAAACTAAATTGATGGACAGCAGTGAATGCTGCTAGGATTAGTCACTTGAGAAGAAGCAGGTCTTTCAAATGCAGCAAAGAAGATGAGGGTAATTTGAAAGTAAAACAGAGCTGTGAATATCAACCCTGATTAAGATTACTCATCTGCTTGGAAGAGGTCAGTGTCCATTAGGATTACCCCGTCTCTGCTATTCTGTCCTCAAGAAAGAACGTGCATAGATGTGAATGAAAAGTGTATTTATGTATTTGTGGTTGATGTCAACACATGCAGCTGGAACACAGCAAACAGATTATTGCTTTTCTGTGTGTAATTGGGCTTTCCAAAAGCAAAGCTATTAGCAAACAACTTTGCAATTCTGATGCCTACAACTGATACAGAAGAGCAGGTAGAAAATATACACAATAGGGTAGGACTGATCTGTTTGTGATGCATTTACAGCAGTGAATGTCTACAGAATTGATACCTTAATAGGTAAAACTTCATGTAGTATCACCTATTGCAAAGTCATTCCATAACATACTTTTAAACCTATACTATCTTACTGTTGTTTTTTGGTTGCTTTTTTTTTTTTTTTTTTAGTATCCAAATAAGTCATCAGGCTATTTAATCCAAGTAACTTTCATTAGAGTCATCTAAAATTATAGCAACTCCTTAGAAGGTAAGCCATCAACATCTCCATTATACAATAGTTTTTAAGCTCCTGACATCTTTTGAAAGTACACCTTTCGTCCCTTCTAAAGATTTTGTTTTCCTCTTGCAGCTGAACCCAGACACTCAGAAGATCCCAAGCCTCTTGGAAAAAATAAGTCCGTGCGCATTATCTCAGACAGTAATCCAGCTTGCTTTCATATTCAACTGTTGGTACTGCAGAAATAGAGATTCAAAAAGGTTAGGAGTAGAGTTATTATATTTTTTGCAGAGGTATTTATCTGCAGAAGTTTTAGTTCCATTCATATTAACTTTTTAATATAAAGTTAAGTGGAAATGCATAAATAGGGGTACAAGTGCAGTGGGTCAAGGATTAAATAATCATTGCTATAAATGACAGTAATAGTCCCTAACATAACATATAGTGTGTGTTCAGCTTTTAAAATGTAAACATGGGGAGCTTCTAAGGCCATACATTTGCAGAATCTTTTATTTAAGTCATCAAAATAGCACTGTGCCTCCATACTGTTTTAGCCGATTATGACTTGTTTAGTAACAGTTTTACCAAAGGAAAAACGGAATGAGTCAATTGCCCCCATTACTGCAAAACCAGGACTCACCTGCTTGCTGATAGTGCTTTTCTGCCAACAGTTGGCGGAGATGGTTCACAATGGAAAAAACTTTTTATCCACCAGCATTTATCAAGTAATTCAGGTAACCCTGCCAAAAGAGATGTAGCCCTCACTATTAGACACTCACAGAATAACAAACAGGTGAAACTGAGAAGACTGTTTGAAAGCATAGAGCAGTACCATGAAATGTTTTGTCCTGTTCTGCAACACTCACAGGATCGGAACAGCAGGAGGAGCTGGAAGAAACGCTGGATTCCGAGTTCTGCCTTGCTGTTCATGGAAAAGAAGGACATATTTGATGAAAAAGATGGATAAATTTCCACGCCAATAATTTCTCAGACTTGCTGCTACCTCAGAGGAAGCAATCTAAAAGATAAGATAAGCTTAGCAACAAGTAGTTAGCTACAATGTGACTTAAATATTTTATGTACCATTTTGCTATGGTTGTTTAGTTGAAACCTTTCACCTAATTGATCTCTCATCATCTGAAAGCACACTGAGATCTCCTTGTCCAGCTTTCACTGAAATCAGTGATGTGCCTTATGATGATCACGTATACACTGTACAGTAATCAAGTGCAAAAAAAATAATAATAGTAATTAAAAAAGAGAGAAAATTCTGTGCTTTCCATTGTGATACAATTAAGAGTACCATCCTTGCACTAATGGATAGCGAGCTATCTAATGGATCTTAACCAGACCAGGTGCATTCTCAAAGTGTTTCATGTATACAGAAACAAGAATGTGTGTTGATTATGCATTCTGTCTAAGCCTGCAAAGGCAAAATAAAGTACAGCTTGAAGCCAGGATTTGTTGATCATATGCTTTGTCAATGTCATGGTTTATAATAAAAAGATTGATACTGCAAAGCCTTAATGAACCATTCTACAGGCAAAAAAGTGTATATGAATAACCAGAAGCAAATACTCATTAAAACTGCAGTTCCTTTATGGAACAAAAACAAATATATCCCCAAGCAAATAATAATAAAATAAAAATAACAGCAAAACATACACATATAGCAAAATCCCACTCTTGCCTCCAGCTCATTCACCTGAGAAACTTTCTAACCTTCTCATACTGCAACAAACTTGGAGCCTGATGGGGCTGCCGGTCCCTGAGCACTTACTGCGGTAGTACTGGTTCTTGGCCAGGAGGCATCCGGCGGAGGGTACCGAGGCCATGGCAGCGAGTAGAATGCTTCTCTCGGACTAAAAGATAAACACGGGGCCGCTCACTCAGCAGCGAGTGCCGGCCCGGGCCCCGATCCACTCCTATATGAGTCCCGTGGCAGAGGGACGGCACAGGACGGGACCGGACGGGACGGGAGGGGTCATCCCGCCCCATTGCCGCCAGCCCCCTGCCGGGCCCCGCCCGCGTCCCCGCAGTGCCAGGGACAGACCCGCAGCACGTACCGAGGGTGCGAGTGGAACACAGTACAGCTTGGGGGGGTGAGGGGTGCCCTGTACCTCCAAGCACTTTTCTGCAGTGTATAAAAAATATTTGCTTTTTTCTTCCCATAAATAAACGCACAACTATTTTGTTGTATTTGTCAACCCTATCCCATGGCAAAATCTGCCCTACATTATGCTACCTCATCTGATGGTTAAGGTCAGGCTGGAAGGGGCTCTGAGCAACCTGATGTAGCTGTGGATGTTCCTGTTCATTGCTGGGAAGTTGGGCTGGGTAACCTTTGAAGATCCTTCCCAACTCCATGATCCTATGACTCTTTCAGAGTGGTGAGCCATGAATCTGAACTCTTTGAATTGCTCCTGATCCACAAGGAAGCATTGCATCACTTTTTTTTTTTTTTTTTGTAACATGAGTTGTGGGTAAGGACACAGCCGTGGGCGGCGTGTGATCCCATGTTACTGTAACTCATTTGACTGCCTGAGCGCTGTGCCTTATCTCAGATGATAAGGTCATAGTTCACAGCAGCTCCTCACCTGTTTGTAAGGAGAATAAGCATTCTGCTGGGAGGCTGCCTGTAGGATCAGACTCATACAGCAGGCATACCAGGTGAGCATACGGCACCATATGCTTTCCTGGGCCTTTCCATTGACCTCCTGTCAGAAACCAGGCTTTCCTAAGTAAAGCCTGAAGGATTACCTTTGTCAAAACTGCAATATTGAAACAGAAAATGATTTGCTTAGCTTAGCTGGTAACAAGCATACGTGAGAATTACCTCTTATGTTTATCTTGTTATGTGAAAAATCTCCAAAAGAGCAGAACATTTTACAGGTGCCTTGATACACTATTCAAAGCATATGTCCCTACCTGTTGTTGCAGTTCCTTTTATTCTGAATGTCTGAAAGTAGCTCAGCTCTCAACTTATTCTATCAGTCACCTCTTTTTCTGTCTTATTATGAATTCCCACTTTGAGGTTTGTTTTATTTGTGGGCAATAAACTCCTGTGCTACATCACCAACAATCACCAGCTCTGTGAATTTTTGCTTGCTTCATGGATGGATGTGTATAATTTTTCTACAGAATGCTCACATGGAAATGATTGGGAGGAACTACTTTCAGGGCAACCTACATATTTTTTTAAGTTAAGAAGTGGGAATTCTGAGATTCAAAGGAGTGAAAAGAATCCACAAAGATTTGGTGTCTCATTTGAGAGAAGCCTAGGACTTGATTTTCTGTAACAATTTAGTTCTATGCCACCCTTCATTTACCTGCTTACAGCTCTCATTGACTTCAGATCCAGATTTAAGTACTCAGTACATCAATAAATTAGATTCTTACCAGACTTAAAAAATTGGTTAGGGGCCATCTATAATAAATATATTGTAAGTGACACACAAAGCATCAATTACAAACTCAGGGGCAAGGATATAATTTAGCTCTCAGGACAGCAGTCAGTTGCTTTAAACACTGACCTGTTCTTTTCTCCTTTGGAAGCCTTTGCTGCAGTCACTACTGGCTCTTCAGCTTCTGTCATGAACACTGTAGAAGTCCTACTGAATGTCCTTTTAGATCTCTCTAGCTTCACAAGTTTCAGTTTGTATCCACATTTTGTGCCCAAAGAGGCAGAGACCCTGTGAAACCAAAGGTATGTAATCACAAGCTTTCTAAAAATGGGTTTATAAAAGGAGTATTTTCGTCATTTGACTAATACTGTGACCTTAAAAACTGTTCCTTTAACATTTGTGTGTGCATAATTATAAAATAAACCAAACGCTGAATTATATATTATCCTATGAATCATAGATACTTTGAAATGTATAACTTGGATCTAAAAATTAAATTAACTGAATAAATCTCCCACCTAATCCCACACATTACCTGGTATGACCTGTTCTTAGACATCTCAGCCACAACAACAAAAACTAAACAACAGTCTATTTTGAGTTTTACCTTGAAGATGACCTGTAAATTATTTGCTAGAAAAGGTTTATCTAATAAACATCTCTTTCAGTTCTTGGAATACATGAGCACAAAGCCCATCTTTTTCAGGAACTTGTTTTTGGGTGTTCTATTCTATTCACTTCTGTGGCCACTTTCTAAAATTTTCCTTATTACTTAACCTTGTGGAAGAGTAGTGTAACATCTGAGATCGTTCAGCATTACTTCAAAGCAGTACTCAGCTAAGCTGAGTGACTGTAGAGGTAATGGCTTTAATGTTTGGAGAGGACTGAACAATTTCATTGAAACTGTCCTTCCACACAAATATAAAGAAAGCTGTATTTTTTGTCAAATGAAGTAGAGTATTCCCTTCTCCCCTGCTCTTCTTCTGGAAGATCAGATTTTACACATCTTAATTGTCCAGTCTCATTGCCTGCCCACAACTACCTTTTCAATCAGATTTGTACTGAAATTTTAAATCACTTTTATTTGAAGGGAATTGGATTTTAATTTAATGGTATGAGAATCTGTGAGAAGAATGGATTTCCCTGTGCAGGACTGTGTAGTACATGCATTAACATTTTCAGATCATGTCTTTTGCACATCTTTCAATAATCACTATGTTATTCACTATCTCAACAATTTCTTTTGCATGCTACTATTGACAGATATTGAAAAGACTGGATATAAGGAGAATTGCATTATAGAAATGAAGTAGTTCCATTATGTAAAGAACGTTTGCCGTGCTAAAACTAATTATCAAAACCTGTTGGATTTGTTAGCTGTTTCCAATGAGCAGGGCCACCATTTACCTTTTCCTTCATTTGTTTTACTCTTCAAATATCCTGGCAAGCCAAACAGGAAATGTAGCCTATCAAAAACATGATAGTTTGAGGAGCTAATAAAGAATTAAATGGCAGTCTGTGAGGTAGCAAGGGAATGAATTTTTTTATCATATTTAACCTACAGAAGAGACACAGAGACATAGAGTTGCTGATGAGAGACTGAGAACAGAAGTGCTAAAGCAGAATCTGCAGTGGGTGGCACCTCTGCAAATCGTCAGCTTTCTACTAACAATTCAGTCATGAAGAAGTTGTTCGCTGGCAGTTTTGGAACTTTTCAAAAAAATTATTTTTAATCCTTAATTTTCTAGTTATTACAATTAATATTAAGCAAAAAATACTTCATCAAAGGAAAATTAATTGTTTTTCTTAGATGATTTTATTTCTCTTTGTGCAAAATATCAAAGTTTTTGTCTTATTTTGTTGCTGTTTTTTTCTAAGAAACCACAGCATTCTCCTCGTAAGCTAATACATCCCTTGAGATGATACCAAAAGAGCAAATAGTAAAGTTTAGGCTCCATGCAGCAAACTTTTGAATTATGCATGTTGGCTGTAGTGCCAACAAAAGTAAGAAAGACACATCTTTCGACCTGTAAATGGAATTGCCAAAATAATTTATGCTAGGTTGCTACAAAAATAATGCCTCCTATTTATTTCCATGGAGACTACAACAGATGCTAAGAGCATAATAACACTGTTTGATAGAGCACATTCTCAGCTACAAAGCACTATTTTTCAACAATAGGCATCATCATTAGCTATGCATTTTCAACAGTGATTTAAAAAGCATGCTGGGCTCCTAAAAGCCTGCACCATCAATAACTGTGAGTGGATGTGGGTGCCATTTTTTCAGCATGAAGGAATTTAGTGACGCACCTTTGCTTCATATGAATGTCCATTCTGTCAGACTGCCCCTCTGCTACCATCTGTCACAAGGCAACAACATGTAATGGAATAATGGTGGGAAGGTTCAACCTCTACTGCCATACCACCAACGTCTGCCTCTGATGTCATGGGCAAACATAAGAAAATGGGAGGCATTGTTTTTGGAGCAACCCTCATATGTTGCTGAACTGTTGATAAATCTTTGTGCACTTACAGATAAATATATCAAGTTTTCAAAACTGTTATATGTTTGTCTTCTTTCTGTTCTCTATTCAATGAATGCTATATTCGTAAGAAAACCAACACATTTTAATGTGTCATTTTAGCTTTATTTTAGCATTTAATTAAAATATGTTTTTCTTTAGATCCAGATAAAACAAGCTGCAAAAGCTTGATTAATTCTTCCAGCAAGCTACATTTTCAAGGCCTCATATGAATTATTCATCTCTCAAGTATTCCAAAGAAAAAACTGTAAAGTCCCAGCATCACAAGAAGGGGGGGAGAATGGGGGGGTTAATTATATTCTTAAGAAATAGAATATGCAAGTAAATAGAATGTAATTGAATGAAGTGAATTTGAATCATAGGTATGTTAATATACCCCTTCGATACATCCCTGAGGATTTTAGTATCTTTGTTTATTTTCATAGAATCATAGAATCACCAAGGTTGGAAAAACCCACAGGATCACCCCATCCAACCATCCACTGATCACCAATAGTTCTCACTAAACCATGTCCCTCAACACAAAATCCAAACGTTCCTTGAACACCTCCAGGGTCAGTGACTCCACCACCTCCCTGGGCAGCCCATTCCAGTGCCTGACCACTCTTTCAGAAAAGCAGTATTTCCTAATGTCCAGCCTGAATCTCCCCTGGCGCAGCTTGAAGCCATTCCTTCTAGTCCTAAAATTTTGGTTCAAATATATATTCTGTTGCATTTATTTTATCTACTTTTTCTGATTGCTGTAAACAGTACTGAACAAATATATTAAGTTCACTTTAACTATTATGGATTTTATCTTCTTTTATAGACACACAGCAGTGCAACATGAAATGTATCTTTCACAGAAGATGCAGTAAAACAATGTTAGGAAGCACTTTGTCATTAATTTAAGAGTGTGTGAAAATGCAATTAGGAGGACTATACAAATTCTGGAATTCGCTGCATCTCAGCCAGTTCTTAAAAATTCAAATATGCATTTGAGCTGCATATCAATTTTTTGCTGAAGACTGTTCCCCACAGCTCTCGGTGTCTTCTGATATTACAGCTGTGTCTCCATATACAAGATATATTTATATTTTTCTGATTTTGCACTTAAGTCCCATACCATTGACTGCTTCTAAAACATGGAGTACACAGAGGTTCTGCTATGATTTATTTCTTTACTTATTCTCTTTCTGTCCTTGCAAGTAGCATGGCCTCAGCCTCACCGCATTGGACACAATCTGACACCTCCACTGCTCTGCAAAGACATCTTAGAAGGTGCTTATAGCCTATCATTTACCGTAACATAGTGACACCATTCCTCAGCACTGAGATATGATACTTTTGGCATGCCCATTTCTTGGCTAGTTTCTTTGTTACCAAGCCAAATTCTCAGAAGAGAGCAGTGTGAGGTGCAAAAGAAAAAAAAACAACCTCAAGGATCTTGTGAACAAGGAGCACATACTCACAATTTTGCAGCTGGAAAATTTCCCATTCATCTAGCAACAGAGCTGGCCAAACCAAGAACTGTTACAGATTTAAGAAGCCAAAAATAGTATACATGTATGTTTAGGTTAGAACAAACTATCAGGAAAGACTATGTTAGGAAATTCCTATATGGTGAGGCAGTTATGCCATGCTGTCATATGATTGTGGCCTTTTTGATGCTGATGGTGGTGACAAGTTCCCTTGCCCCAGCTCTATCTCCAGAACACAGAATCACAGAAATGTAGGTGTTGGAGGGGACCTCTGGAGATCATCTAGCCCAACCTTTGCTAAAGTAGGTTCTCTACAGTAGGTTACACATGGAAGTGTCCAGGTAGGTTTTGAGTATCTGCAGTGAAGGAGACTCCACCTCTCCAGACAACCTGTTCTAGTGCTCTGTCACTTTGAAAGCAAAGAAGTTTTCTTCTCATGTTCACAAAGAACTCCTGAGCTAATGTCATTCTGAGACCAGTGAGGGTGGTTAGAGTGCTCGAGAGATTTCTTCCTGCTTGGAACATAGGTAACCTAAGAAAAAACTTCAGCCCAGCCCATATAATTGTCCTGCAAGTGTTTAAATTGTTCACACACTGGCTTTTGGGAAGCTTGAAATCATACACTGCTACAGGAACTCATTCTGCCAGAGTGAGCGGTTACTCATGTCCAAGAACAAGAAAAGGGGCTTAATCTCTATGTGAGTGACAAATGTTTAGTGAATACCATGTTATCAGGAGGACTTGGAAGCCTCATTCAGGCAGCTCATTTTTCTATCATGATGCTTCTTCTCCATACTATTTTACTCTTCTCTAACAGGTAAGAAATGGAATTCCCTGCTGATCACATTTTAGAGTTTCCTGAGAAGGAAAGCAACTGATGCCACAAAATGGCAAAGAAGGACGCTGTGTAGCATCACAGTGCAATGAAGCATGATCTTGTCCCGCTTACTTCAAGTCTCATCAGTCCTTTAGAGCACTCCAGTCATCAGAAGTCAATTTGTTTATTTGATACTGATACATCACATCAGGGCTGGTACAGTTTCAAGTTGTGCACAGTGTGCTCTGAAAACAAAAGCACTGTGCAGCTCCATAACCAATACCTCCAACAACACAGCTGTTTACTGCATTCTCATGTTACTGTTTCCATCTCTACAGTTACTGTTAGTGGGAGGGCTTTTGCACAGGCTCCTGAAAAGCTGCGTCGGCAATCTCAGTGCCAAGTCTTCTAGCACAGCAAAAGCTGGTACACAGTCCCATTCAGACAAGCAGTGGTGTTTTGCCTGAAATACCCAGCATATCAGCATTAAAAAATGTAGAAAATAATCACTACCAATTCCTACTTTTGTGACAACACCACCCCTAAGAGCAAAATAGTGAAAAGAGCCAAAGTAGGAGTTTCTTTGAGAGTCTTTTAGTTCTCGTCTTAGTCCTACTTGAAAATATTGCCGAGACATGACCTACAGATGTTATACTTCAAGTTGCCCCCATGAAAATTCAAATGGAGACAAGCTGAATACTTTCCAAAGTAAGAAATGAGTAAGAATGCCAACTACCAATGCATCAACAGTAATGAAGGAACAGTTGACAGCATTTACTGGATCTGAGGAAAGAAGATGATAGCCTTCCTCAGGTTCCCTCACTTATGCATCTACATGTTTATGCCTGAGAAATCTTTTTTATATGGTTTGTGTGTTACTTGCTTTATCACGTTGTGTTGGCTATATGCTGTGTATCTTATCTGCATGCTGTTTTCTCCTATCTTATTTTGCTTGGGTTTGGTCTTTGACCTAGTTTTCCATTCTCCTGTTTGAATAAACATGTTTGAACTGTTGAAGGCATGATGATCTCTCTTGTTTTTATGATTAATTTTGGGACTCCAAAGGCTTTATCTCCTTGCATGATCTGAGGCTGCAAGGCACCACAGGCAGCTCCTGGGGAGTTCAGGGTCCGAATATAAAAATCAGCATGAAGAGCAGAGAGGAACTCCAAAAGGATAAGAAAGGCTTTCAGAAAGAGAAAACAGTGTGGTGCCAAGTTGACATTATGTTTATGAACCCGAAATTTTGCTTAGGCAATATAGACTATATAACACTGCAAAGAGGCACCCTTTTCAGTCATGCCAAGCCCCAAGATCACAAGGCCTTTGGTTAGACAGGAGGGAGAATGATTCTGTTCAAGGCAGAGAAACGTTTTGATTTCTCCTTGTTGAAATGTGCTAGAGGGAGATGAAACAGTTTACTCATTAATCTTGGGTTACCTAACACTTTCATCATGTTTATCTGAAACTGAATCATACCAAATGACATGACAGTGTCTAATGCCATTTAATCATATCAAATATGATGTAGAATCAACAAAATAGATGTTTAGACAGATGTGCTTCTAGTGGAAGTTATCTGAGAGGCTCATACATAGATCTTTCTTCTCCAAATGATTAAACTCTGTTTAATAATAATTTAATGCAGAAGACTACATACACCTACTTGATTCAAAACATCTGTCTCCTTGCCTGTCTTGCAGAAGTTTCTTACATTTTTCCCTGACAAATGAGAACTTAGGTCTGCATGGAGGACTGTTATGTCAAAAAACACAAGTATACTTGTATTAGAATTTTACTGATCAGGTTCATAGTAGGTTTTCTTACCCGATATGGAAAACAAAAAATTTGACAAGGGTTAACAAAATACAATCAGTAGTATAGGCGAAGTATAACGCAACTAATTTACATTTTCCTTTTTACCCTCATTTGATTAGGTTTTTTTGTTGTTGTTTTTTTTTGTTTCTTTTGTATTCCTTATTACAATATCTTGTACAAAGTGTTATGTTTAGCCACTAGTTTACCAGTAAAATGAACAATAGGCATTTTGTCATTTATCTTCATACTGATGAACTACAGCATTTGTTAAATGATTTTTACAAGGATCAGCCTCATCTACAAGGAGTCTGATCTGACCAGATGGGTAGTGCTCATTTCCCTCACTCTGCTTAAGTGAAATCTTTTTTCCATTTTGCTTGTGATGTATTTAGATTAGCTGCAACTTACTGGAGTGAGTTCAAATCCAACAGATCTGTTATAAATTTGGAAATGGAAAGCATTTCACACTCTGTGCGGAAATTGACATTTGGCAGAAAACTGGAATTGGCAGAAAACTGGAATTGGCAGTAACTGAAAAGTTACAGCAAATTCTTATGCATGAGATCACAGATTAGGATTAACACTGATTTGTTCCCTCTATCTCTCCTCCCATTTCCCATCTTCTCATATTTGTGAAAATCAAGTCTATTCCCTTTGAAAATTTTGTTGCCAAAACCACCAAAATCACTGAAGATCACTGAAGCCATTAATGTGCGATAGCTACTAAATATAGAACATTTCAAACTTCCTAGTGGATTGGAGAAACAAGGTGAAACTCTCATTCTGATAAGAGCAAAAACAATTACCTGATTGTTAAAAACTTGGTAATGTCCTGGAGGATATAATATGGACATATGTCTATCTTTGTCTATCAACATTTGGAAGATCGAAATTAATAACTGTCTCAAAGTATTAGACATAGCAAATGCAATGGAGTTGGTAGTGAAAGTCATGCAGATTTGCATTCAGAGTTCAGAGAATCAACCCAGTGTATGAATTCTGTTTTTTTGAAAGCCTCTATATCTTATAGACTGTTCTTTCTGCAAAGAAATTGAGTTACAAGCCCATGACTGAGAAGTCTCACAGTATCATAGATGCCTCCTTTGGAGACTCTTAGCCAGAAAATGAAAAGACAAGTATTGAATAAACATCTGGGTTGAAAATCTGAGGCTTATTGTCTTGAGCAGGAAAATGATACAAAAAGAACAAGATTACTGTTAAACCTATTTCAGTTTCCTGACACCACTCAATTTTAAATGACCTGAAATGGAATGATTCTTCAAAGAAGACGAAGGAAATGACGGAAGGAAACTTAGAGAAATTGACTGAACTGACAAGCTGAACAACCCTTCAAATTGTGATAGGCAGCAGCAAAGCCCAGTGACAGAGAATTTGTGAATTAATCTATTCTTTCATATAGAGAAGATAAGCAACCAAAGCAAAAGCAAAGAAAAAAATAAAATGGATACCATGCCAGAGAACTAAACCAGGAGACTTTCTCAAAGTGATTACTAAGTTTTCTATACTTGCTTGCTAAAATGGTTTCCAATTCTAGACTGCAACAGAGTAGATCATTGTAGGATCATCCCCACATGTCGAGTGAAATATCAGTTGGGCAACCATTCCCGTTTCTTTTAATGGTCATCTGGAGGGATCAAGGCTAACCTCTAACATAGTTCCACTAAAATTTCATTAGCTGAGTGTATCCATAGAATTTCTGAAGAGAACTCCCCAGATTTTCAATGTTACATCATAATTTTAAACTAAAAAGAGAAAGTTCACAATGTGAACAGTATGATTACAAAAAATAGATGTTATCCAAACCAAAGAAAACTCAAACCCAAAATGACATAAGGTGGACTAAGACTGTCCTTTTTCACGATCTGAGTTAGTATAGAGCAATTTTATTTTCTTATTCTGCTTACAGGGTAGAAAACAGAAGAGAGGTAATCCCTTCTGTACCATGAAGAAAGCTTGATAATCTGTTCTATTACAGGAGCCACTGTAACATGTGAACTTTGTCAAATGCACAGAAACCTAGATAATTTTGAGGAAATGAAAATGATCTTTTCTGCATGTAAGATGTGATGATGTTACAGTTCTACCAGTTTATATAGACATGAAAATCAAACCAAATTTAAAAGAAAAAGCTGACTGAATAAGTGGTTTAAGAATAGTTAATCACTCAGTGTTCATAAGCAAAACTGTACAAAATTGTCATTTTCAGTTTCAGTTTCATTTTGCATACTAACCGTGTGCAGTAATGTTTCTATAATGGAATTATGGTGTTCACCAAACACAATGATTTCTGAAATCTCTTCCATGTTTGGGGAACTGTTATTTCAGAGTTTGCCAAAATAAAATTCTTTCTTAAAAAAATATTATTTAAACATATCAGTACAACACTATGAGGTTTTCCTTCACATGGCTCTCTCTAAAACTTAACACAGTTTATCATGGCCAAAAATGTACAAAGCTGTATTTGAAACTGTGTAATCTATAAACTATGCAATGCACAGCAACAACAATGCACACATCTTGTGATCCTGACTCCTTAGGGACTTTGCTGTGGAAGTGTATCATCTGCAATATTGGACATCAGGCACAAGAAAATCAAGGATTTCAAGGGCTCTGACTTTTTACACATACATTTCATTATTTCGTTGAGCAAAAACAAAATACTGAACAAAAATACTTAATAACACAATACTACTACTGCGGTTGATAATGGAATGAAAATTGTTGCCTACAGATTGCCAGCTCAAGAGAAGTTATGGATTTGTTGCTGTTGATCAGGAGTTACAATTTGCTATGATAATAATGACTATATTGAATGATTACTTGTTATTATACTAAATGAATCAGTCATTGATCTTTCCATGTAAAATGGATGATTGAGTGGGACCACAGATAAAATGCAACTGTATGGAAAATGCTACCAGTTACTATCGTTAACTGGATCCATCGTTGATAGCCTGAGCAAATGACTAAAGACTAAAGAAATTAGAAGATACTACCCTTTCACATCTAGTCCTACTTCTCATGAAAAAGTATGTAAGATAGGAAATTTGCACAGTCAGTGTACACTTGTTTTAAATATGAAAATAAGACCATCTAGCAAACTTATTTGGTGATGGAAATTCATTTTTAAAACACTTTCTTTACTACCTGTAATTATGTACAAATCCAATTAAATGCTTAAAGATCTAATTACCATCCACAAATGAGACATGTAGAGTCTTAAACTACTCTGTGCTTGTAGAAGCAAAGCTTTATTCAGGGCAGAATCAAATGCTCAATTATCTGATAAATTCCACATATCCTCAGTAAATAAAAAGTGTAAAGCTGTAAGAAATAACCAAGGCTTCGTGTCTGTGTCATTACTTATTATGTTTTGCTACTCTTTACATAACTAATAAATATGCTCTGATTGCTTCTGCGATCAAAGAAAGTTGGAAGGAAAAAATCTTTTTGTATATCTGTCTCAGTACAGATGCAGAAAATTGGGTATATGAATTCAGAGAGTCTAGAAATATCTATAGCTGGGTTATGCAACCTGTAAATTTCACCTCTGCTTGGCTCATCTCACTTCTCTTTAGATTTTCCAGCACTCAGCTCTTCCAAATCAGCCAGGAGTGAAGAGCTTATAATCGGATACAAGGGCTCATATTCACTCCTTCACCTTGGAGAAAATGAACTGCTGTCAGCAATTGAAGGTGGTTATCAATTCCCTGGGTAAAGTACAGTCCTGCAGCCACTAATCACAGGTTGTCCTCACTTGTTAATGCAACAGCTGCTGCCAACCTGAGCGGGTGAACTGCTGCCACATGATATTTGACCAATCCACTTGAAACCCTTTCAGGTCTGTCAGAAAGATACTGGGCCAAAATTTTAAGAGGTAATTTTTAAAAAGAACAGCTTTTCATTATACCTTCATTTTTCTTATAAGCCACCTTTGGAGACAGGTATCTCTGCATATCAGAAAATGAATGTAACAGAGAGAGGTAAAAGTTAGGTGAGCTTTCAGAATGAAGAAGTTTTGCTCAGCATTTGCTTCAGTCTTCTATAACTTGCAAGCTCAACACTGTCGGCCTTTAGAAGTGTTTGGACAGGAATCAAGAGCAGTGTTTCTAAATAATTCTGAGGATTTGGTTACAGGTTTGCTTCAGTTTATCAATACACCCTTACCTC